TTATGCGGTTATAAAAGGGAAAAGAAGAGAAAAGTGAGCCCCGTAACTGTCTGCATCTGGTGCGACACCTCAACAGTATATATCTCACATGGGATGGGGGTAAGGAGGGATTAAAAGGATAGGAATAAGGGTATATATAGAAAGACAGAGATGCGCAGGGACAGCGAGCGACGACGGAAGTAAAAAGAAGATAGGAAAAATGAAACCCGGTCGCAGGAGTCCGAGGACGGGGCACCACTCAGCATGAGCTCTTGTCGGCGGCAGGAGATGGCGAAGGGCTAATCCATTCAGCCAAAGCTACGCTGTCGTCGGGGACCGGCGTCAGAAGGTGGCGTAGGACCGACATCCCAAAAACCAATATATGATTATGTAAGACGCCGTTATGAAGGGCTCCGGAGATTTAGACCAACCACCAGGGGTTCTTTAACGTGCGCTCAAATCTGAACACACGGGCCTACAGAATTTCCGCCTCTACCCCACAAAGCTATCTGACAATGAAACATCAATCAGTTCGCTGACGAGTCCTAGGATACGAGAGCTCGTTTCGGGCTTTCCGTTTTCAAAGGGAAACGCGAAGCGGATGATAGCGAAAGATTGTAATGTGTTTACTTCATCGCGATCCGTGATCATCATCAGCCTGACTACGTATACTGTAGGGCAAAGGCATCTCGCGTGTTCCGCCGATCAACCCTGTCCTGTGATTGCTGGGGCCACGTTATACCGGACAAACTTCTCGATCTCATCGGCCCACCTAACTTCCTGTCTCCCTCTCGCGCATTTGGACTGAGTATTATTACAGTTTGCCAACACTAATGGGTATAGTTACTAATTGATGCAGTGCGCTGTGTTGTAGGCAACTATTGAACAACCAGCAGTTGCATGGTAGAACGTAATCGGAAATACACCGCTTTCTTTTACATTCTTTCGAAAATAAATATCAGTTTTTTGTGTGTGTTTTTTCTTTGTGACCCACAACCACAATAATGATCACGAGGAATGCTGCTGCGGAAAGCTTAGGCAAATTTCTACCACCTGGTGCTTTGTTACCGTGTCCCGACATCGCACAGTACTACACGGGCCTCTGGCATGTCGGCTCCACCAAATGCGACAGCCACGGCTATAGGATCGAACCCCAAACCTTCATTAAGGTGGACAGCTATGCACCGTAAATACTTTACCACCACGGCGGTCAAATTAGCCAACTCTATAGGTGTTGCTACCTCTCTCTCTCTTTCTGTCAGAATCATTAAACATCGCTTGTGACAGATCGGGTTATTATATTCCTTGAACTAAAACACTAAAATGAACATGCAAATACGTGTATGACGAACTAAGATGCATAACTGACTAATCGTATTAAGTCCATTAATAACGTGTAAACGATTTTTTTTCACGGTGCACAGTGCAATCACAACGGACAGTCGTACGAGACGATTGACTGCGTGGCGCTTGTGTCACGTAAGATGTTTCGACACGGTAGTGACATGAATGCGCATTTTAGGTGTGAAACCTCCGATGTGCTAAGCTTTGTCTGCGTCTCCTGTCGTTACGGTGTGTCACGTAGCGACGGTCGATCATAAGAACGGGTATGTGCCGCAGTGGCCAAATCCCACTATTCGCTAGCGGTCCGCTGAACATGAGGATGGTTATAGTTAGTCCAACCATGGCCTCCGCCATCTCAGAGGCTATGGTTCTCGAAAAGCCGACGACGCAAGTGGAGCTGAAACACCCTTCTCCATCATCATCAACCTGACTACGTCCACTGCAGGACCAAGGCCTCTCCCATGTTCCGCCAGATAAGCCGGCCCTGTGCAGAAGACTGAGGCGCAAAAAACATAACGTGAAGCAGGAAGAACAGGAGAGAAGACAGAACAGCGCCACTGTCTTCTCTCCTGCTCCACGTTATGTTTTTTTGCGCCTCAGTCTTTTGCACCAACTAGTTCAAAAACAAGCCCTTTCGGTCCTGTGCTTAATGCTGCCAATTTATACCCGCAAACTTCTTAATCTCATCTGCCCACCTAACCCGCTTGCCTTCTCTGGGAATCCAGTTAGTTACCCTTAATGACCAGCTGTTATCCTGTCTACGCGCTACATGCCTGGCCCATTTCCTCTTCTTGATTTCAACTATGATATCCTTAACCCTCGTTTGTTCCCTAATCAACTCTGCTCTCTTCTTGTCTCTTAAGGTTTCAACTACCATTTTTCTTTCCATTGCTCGCTACATCGTCCACAATTTAAGCTGAACCTTCAGGTTTCTGCTCCGTAGCTAAGTACCGGCAAGATACAGCTGTTTTATACCTTCCTCTTGAAGGATAGGGGCAATCTACCTGTCATAATTTCAGAGTGCTTGCCAAATGTGCTCCATCCTATTCTTATTCTTCTAGTTACTTCAGTCTCGTGGTTCGGCTCCGCGGTTATTACCTGCCCTAAGTAGACATAGTCTTCTACAACTTGAAGTGCGCTATTACCTACCTCGAAGCGCTGCTCTCTTCCGAGGTTGTTGTGCATTGCTTTCATTTTCTGCAGATTAATTTTAAGACCCAACTTTCTGCTCTCCTTGTCTAACTCCGTAATCGTGAGTTACTCAGCAATGCAATGTCATCGGCGAAGCGCAGCCCTTCTCCATGGAGTTCCCTAAAATTAACTAGAGGGGACTCTGACACTGCGATCGTTCAGCGACCATGGGAATGATGGGTAGTACACTAGTATTCATACTCGCGGCTTCGTTTATTGCTGGTTACGGTTTCGTTTGGAATAAAAGAACTAACCTTTTTGAATGTGACCCGACTCGAAATGGTAAGCATAAAAGAATAAGGTGGTGAAGCGCAACCGCTGGACATTTGCTGATTTTTTGTCTCGCGAGAAAACAGCTCCAAGTAACACGAACACACACAGAGCTAGAAGCAGGCCAGAAGTACGAATATTAGACAAATACGTGTACTACCCATCATTCCCATATGCTCGCTGAAGCGCCGTGTGTTGCAACTCCCATAGACACTATAGCGTCAGAGTTCCCTCTAGTGTATATTAGGAAACGTTATGATCTTCCCTACATGTCTCACCTCTACTAAGTTTTATTTGTTATTCTTTTGTGTGTGTGTGTGTGTGTCACGCACATAGAATAATGCATCATCATCTACGAAGCGCACGCTCTTGACTATATAGGAGGCAAGCCAGTAAAGACGGCAAGAACCGAAGAGCAGTGGTGACGCCCCATCCAATTTCCGGCAACAGCTGACAGCGACCACAATAAAAAAATAATATATGATAGCGCATTCTCATGTTTTCTCGTTCAGTTCTAAAGACGAGACCGCGATAGATTCAAAAGAACCAAGGAGTCGCCGTAGCCGGTTCTGACAAACTATCGTGTTGCCGCTCGGCTTAAACTTGAGAGAGCACACTGAAATTCACTTCAGCGTATTTCTGTGACGTCACGTTCGACGCACCTACGCTGAAGTTAGTGCTCGAATTTCGAGACACAAGAGAATAAATAATAGAGAAATAAAACTTCGACCTTCGTTTCTGTTATTCAACAACAAGTATGTCTCATTTTTTGTTCTTTTGGAAGCTATGAGAGTGGAGGTGTGAAAGTCGAGTTGGTGATAATGACCCTTGCGGTGCGGTCACCAGAGTGACGTATTGTTTTCCACGGTTGGAAATCACTGCTTAGAACAACACAAATCCCAAAAAAAAAGAAAGGTAAAACGAGTGCCTTTTTCACAGTCGCAATATTTCGTTCTCCAAGTACACAAGCTTTTAACGGCGACACAGCTGTGTCGGAAAGCTCCTGGTCGACGTCAAGGATGAATGTCCCGGGTTCAATTCCGGCCGATGAGCCCGCCTTACGATGGAGGCGAAATGGTAAAAACATGTGTACTGTGCAATGTCAGTGCATTGTTCCGCAGCGTACCACTCAATAACAAAAAAAAAGAGATTACAACGTAGTCACCTTCCCTCCGCATGCTTCCCATAGCATCGATTGCCAAGGGGCCCCGCCGCGATGGTCTAGTGGCTAAGGTACTCGGCTGCTGACCAGCCGGTCACGGGATCGAATCCTGACGGCGACGGCTGCATTTTCGATGGAGGCGGAAATGCTGTAGGCCCGTGTGATCTGATTTGGCTGCCCGTTAAAGAACCTTAGGTGGTCGAAATTTCCGGAGCCCTCCGCTACGACGTCTCTCACAATCGGTAAATGGTGATTTTTGGACGTTAAACGCCACGTACCAATCTATCATCATAACCAAGGTGCTTGGAATCTGTCGATTTTTTTTTTCGTTATCACATAAGTGAGCTTGCCTACGTTGTTTACGAATAGCGCCTGCGTAACCCAGCGCTGCTCATAAAACAGATAACCATTTATCTGAAACCGTCTGTACAACTCACTAAAGTCAGATAACAACGCCATTAGTAATTTTAAAACAGCAGATGGACTGACCAACGTATTTAGCTTATTTCCAACGGGAAAGATTAAAAACGAAAGTCCTAGCTGTCAGACAAGGCCCAAAAGGGTGGGTGGGTACGATTCATGGTATCAACTATAATCAACTGTCATACGATACTCTTATGCACTGTAGTACTTGTCTCTCGATTGAAGCAGAGATGACAAAACGAATCAAATAATGCACCAAACGAGATAATCAACACCCTTTTTCCTAAAAAGACTTGGCTGAATCAACTTCACTTCGTCTATTCGTTCACCCGTGACAACTTTGTTATCTCGCAGGATGTAATCGCGATTTGCAGTCACAAAACTCTTTGTTTTTTGCCTTCTTACTTGTTTAGTGCGCCGTTCATGTAACTACTTTATCGCTTAAGTTGGCATTCATGGTACTACAAAGTACTCCTTACGACATCATTCTATACGATAAGATTGCTTGAGAACCACACAAAAGGACTCATCATGTTCTTCCGTATGACGAAAAAAAAAAAACAATGCAGATGGTACACGCAGTATCTGCGAGCGATAGCATAGCTAAGGAAATTGTAATAACAGCACATACCGTTTAGTTGGGTCGAACCTCAATCGATGTCGTGGAATCGGCACCGATTCGACACTGTAATCCTCAGGCGAACACGAAGGTTCGCGAAAGATGACACTTCCCTGAAGTTTCCGCGCATTCTTGTCTTTTACGAAGCCCTGGCTCGTTTCTCACTTCCACATTTGGACAATGGAAACACAGGCACCTCTTTTACTGCGGCTATGCTCCGCGAGCAGACGACAAACACCGCCGCAGTTGACAGCTCGTAGCAGACGATGCGCCGACCAACCACGCTTAGCAACAAGCGCGCACTCCTCGAATCACTGCACACAAGAACACCGTAGCTTGCTCCGAACACGACGAAAGGAAAAAGGTTATCCGCAATTGTAAACGAAGCTCCTTCGGACTCTGGCGAAAGCGGCCCCGACGAAGTCACGTTGCTGCCGCAAAACGTAAACACAACACCAACGCACGAGGATCTTCGGAAACCACCACCACCACGCCTCACAAGCACGTGCGGTCGATTCGCGCACTAAAACGCGGACGTGCAGATTCAAGCACGAAATACAGTGCTTTCGCAGTTAGCTGGTCATTCACGGGTATCAAGAATCTCAGAGAATAGAATCAACTCGCTCCGCCGGCGCGCGGCGACTGCGAGTCGGAGCGCGGACGAACACGGCTGCACAGGAGATGCAAGGCGCATCTGTGTGCGTTCGAATACGACTCGCATCTGGCGCGCGAACACCGCCATAGCGGAGCAAGGAGCGGCGCTACAGTCGTTTTTTCGCGAAAACGAAAGAGAGAGGGGGGAGACGGTTGCGGAAAGAGAGAGAAACAAGCGGCACGCGCGTCGTCTGTCTACGCGCGCCGTTGCAGACGACGCGTTTCCGGCGTACTTGCATGAACCGTTGACCGCGCGTAGGAGTCGCCCAAAAATTGTGCGAGAGGACGTCTCAGCAGTCGTGAGAACTTTACAGTAGAAACGCAAACATGTTCTCTCCATGTCCTTAGCTTCTCTCGATATATCTGAGGCAAGGCTACGTAGGTAAGGATCGTCAATTTGAGTCGCACCAATGAAAATAACGCTTACAGTGATTCTTTGATAATGCAGCACAATGAAACACGTTGAGATCTTGTAGAATGCCTTCGCTATTGGAAGCGCGAGAGCCCTAATCCATCATTACTCGAACAAGTTAATTCTTTGTTTCATCGTTGGTTTGATATTAATCTTACAATATTCCACTGTGGAGTTATAAATTCTTATGACAAAGGGTGCTTTCATAAGCACCTAAAAGCACTTTGCTAACCTTTTTGTATCTAACATAAACCACTGGACCTTAGAAAACACATAAAGAAGCGTGAAACTTTACCAGTGGCGCCATCTCTAGCGCTTTCGAGGAGTTCAAAAGGAGACCGCACAATGAAACCACACGAAAGTGCGGTTTTCACCAGCAACGTCAGCTAGTGGTTACCGCTTCACGTGCCTTATAGATCGATATTATATCGTGAATGCCAGCGTAGTGTACAGTGATTTGGGTGACGGGAACCTCCAGCCGTCTATTATTTTACAGATCAACAACACGTGGATCATCATCATCAAATGGATAGATAGATAGATAGATAGATAGATAGATAGATAGATAGATAGATAGATAGATAGATAGATAGATAGATAGATAGATAGATAGATAGATTAGGCGGTTCCAAAGCTTCTCATGCTCTACCATCGTCATACACACGTAGAAAGCTCCGCAGAAGTGGTGTCGCCTTCTGTGCAAATGCTGTTTTTTTTTTTTCGTTTCCCTTTGTCAGTTTAACAATGATATCGGGTTATCCCTCAACACTGATGCAAAAGGGAATGATCGCTTAGAAAAGCTGAACTCGTATCAAAAGCTTAACGTAGCCAAGTTCCAGTTCCAATAAATGTGGTTACGACATGGCGCATGCGATGTAGCGGCAGCAAAGATACTTTGAATTTGGTGGCTAGACCAAAACACGGTGATGCGGCAGCGTCTGCAAGAAGTTTACAAGTGACGGATAGCCATGTATATATAAAGGAAGAATCGCCATGAGTAACATGGGGCGTCTTGAGAACTTGTTGCGATGAGGAAAAAAAGAAAGAGGAAAGCGAAACTCGACTCGTCAAACGAGGCGGTGATTGTTCAACTCGCGCACCCTGCTATCGCATGCTCCCAATGCTGCAGCGCCACCAGCGATCCTTCAGAACGAAAGAAAACGGACCAAAGAAGCAAGACGAACAATTTACCCGACATCTCTTTATTCCGCGTTCTTTCAGCGCCGAGACGCAGGGGCGAAACGCGATCAAAAGCGAGAGGCCTAGCCGGTTTGAAAAGGGCCGGGTGGCCTTCCGTTTTTCGTCACTCGTGTCGTCTGTTACACTCCTTGTCGTCTGCTACAAAAGAGAAGAAAAAATCGCGGCAATGAGGGGGATGGATGGAGGGCATCACTGGGCAGAAAAAAAGCAGTAAAAGAAAGAAGGATGTGGCACGAACTTGAGAGAATAAAAGGGGTTGCCATTGTGCTCGGCTCTGAGTTTCAAGCCTTGACCGTTGAACAACTCGTTTCTTTCGAGTCCTAGCTGAAGCAACCGTCGCTCCTTTGGCGCCAAGCAGACGCAACTCATCCTATACCCGACAGCCGTTTTAGCGATGCGTATATACGGTGGCCTGGAACATGATAAGATCACAGGTCCTCCGTAGTACTGTGCAGCGTCGTACAAGCATAGACATTCGGTGACGTCGGATAATCAAAGCAAGAAGGTGTAGACCTGTCGACTACGCTGCCTCTCGATGTCGTGGGCGCGGGAGCCTTGGTTGCGATACTGTCGACTGCACATTATTACTGGCCAGTGCTTGTCCCGAATCGTGAAGTGTAGCTATAAACTTAGCTTATGCAGACAAGGGGACCTTTAAAACCACTTATCACCACTTTTCCTGTGTATATAGGAGCTGCTTTCCGAAATCACTACCCAAATTTCATAACATAAACAGCATGGCACTTCCGTATCTCAAATGTGAAGTTGTGTAAGCCGTGTTTTTTTTTTTCTCAAACTGCGTTTTTAGTCTTTTTAAATAGAGTGAAGTTCTTAGATAGAGTGAATCAAGCGAGCGTCAGGCGGTGTTCGCAGCGAATAACACCATCTATGTCACCTTAAACTTCTACGCACACCACCATCTTATTATACTGCGTTTTAAACAGGCCTCAACATCGACCGATTCAACACTCAGAGCCCCAATCTTTAGCGTAGCGCGAGTTGAGCGGTCACTGTCTATTTACCTCGCTACATGAGCAGAGTGTAGTCATTGGTCATCCATGCAACCGTGGCTCATTGTCAGTGAAGATAGGAAACTTAGCCGAAGGCAATGATTGAGGTATTTCTTTTTTCAAGGGCAAAAAAATCGAGGAGGGCCCCTATTACGGGACTTCTCCGAAAACCTCCGCTATAGCATGGGCCTGTCAGGGGCGAGCCCCTGACAGGCCACGGAGACACCGTCGGGAAGTGTACCTTCCCACTGTCCTAAAGTCCGGGTTAGGATGTGAGGGAAGCAGGCAGCGGTGCACTCTACAGTAACGTGAAAGGTTGTGAGGAACACACTTTCTTAGCTGAGTAACCATTAAAGGGCCCGTGAACACTTTTAGAAGTTGCCATGAAACCCTAATCACTAAAGGAGCTTGTTGGCACACGAATTCATCACCGCAAAAAAAAAAAAAAATTAGAATGTGTCCACTACGAGCCGAGTTACAAAGAATTGTCACACGGTGCTATTGAATAATCTCTTCTCTCGTCCGGAACGCACTGGAAAGTATACACTTAAACCATTTTGCACCCTTTGGGGTGCTTTTCGTGTCTACATTTAACACCGTATGCACAGTAAGGGTGTTTTGAGAAACCAAAACACTCATGTCATGGGTGTTCCGAAATACCAAAAACACTCATGAAATGGACGTTTTTTTTGTTTGTTTGTCAAGACAGCCTTATTATAGGGTGTTATATTGTAGACACGCAAAGCACCCTTCCGGGTGCAAACAGGTTTACAGTGTAAGCACGAAAAGCTGGGATGGATGGCACTGGGGAAGAAAGTACGTCACGCGTGCCCCATGGCCTTAAGAACTTTCCGTGTTTTTTTTTTCTTCGAATGTTATAGACGTCAGACTCTGGAGTTTTGCAGACCCGCAGCGCCATCTGTCGACGCAGTTTTGAGTAGTGCAAAGCCTGCCTCCCCTGCACAGTTTGCTGCGCAACCAGATGCAACTACAGCTTTCGAAACAATGACTGAGCTAAGTATTCGAAGCATTTGCGCATTGAACACTCAGAAAAAGAGCTACGAATTCTTCTCCGCTAGTCGGACGCGTCATCGAACCGCCATGAAGTGCTTGCTGGTTCACTCGCCTGAAGGATGGCGAAAACAAGAGCAGACGCAATCGCTCCGCGCTCCACGAAAAAAAGACCCCAGTCTGCGCTATTAGGGGCGAAGCTCCTTATAGCGGCACCCGTTCGTTCCCCGTAGTATGTAACAAGTATAACACTTTGACCTCCAAGATGGTGCCGGTGAGAGACTTCTGTGCGTTGTTGAACAATAAAAAATAGTGCTCAATGTACATGTCAATGGCTGCTAATGGGGAATGAGAGACAGGAGCATTCGGCTTTTAGTTAACGCGCAAGCTGCGATCACCATTAGCAGCCATTGGCATGTACATTGAGCACTATTGGACAAGAAAGGGATGCTACATTATACTCGCTGGGTGTAACCTCCTTAGCTTTAGAAAGGTTTAGCGAGCGTTGAGCCGCAATGCCATGAATACAATGAACTTGTATATACCATGAATGAACTCGAGGTGGTTAAAAATGGGAAGTAGATACGAAGCGCAAGCCGTAAGAAAGTAAAAGCCGAATTCTCCGCCTCTCATTTCCCATTAGCAGCCATTGGCATGTACATTGAGCACTATCTGACTGAAAAAAGTTTGCTACGTCATACTCGCTGGGCGTGACCTCCTTGGTTTTCGAAAGGTTTAGCGAGCGTTCAACCGCAGTGTGATGAATACAGTGAACTAGTATATACCATGAACTCGAGGTGGTTAAAAGTGGGAAGTGGACCCGAAGCGCAAGCCGTAAGAAAGTGTGCGTGTGCCACCTCTCGTTTAGTCCTTGTAATGTCCGCTGGATGGCGGTGCTTCTATATGGGGAATATATGATGAAAAAATGCGAGATGGCGGTACTTGGAGTGTTGAATAGATGGACGAACGGACACATAGACAGATGCATGGATGGACGCATGAACGGACGCAGGGGCGGCTGCATGGACGAACGCAGGGACGGACGCACGAACAGACGCACGCACGGACGGGCTGATGGACGCATGGACGGTCACACAGACGGACGCATGGATGGACGGAAGCAAGAACGAATGGACGGACGAATTCTTCGCCCCACTCTCCATCATTCGCTCCGTGGATATGCTGCCATTTTTTGT